TAGCCTGTGGATGTCCCCTGTCCCCACGCACTGCAGCTGATCAGTTTGGCTTTCTTACCATGCCTCATGCCTTGGAGGACTTTGGCGTGGGCAGTGGGGACAGGCCTGGGCACACTTCTGATGCATGCGTTGTCCCCTGCAACCCAGGATGTGACAAACGCTGCTCCCAAAGCTTGCTTCTGCCTGCTTGTAGTCTTCACCTGCAACCCCGCATCTGGACACCTGAGGACAACTGTTGCAGACCGGCTAGAGAACAGTGGCATGTTACAAAAAAAATCATCAATAAGCACTCCAAAATCAGCAGATATTCAGCACCTCTCCGAAGAGCCCCGGTTTCACACCGATTAAGTGCCCGGAGCTCCTCCAAGTCATGCTACATCATTTCCCCACTGCAAGATTTCTCCAGCATGGTGAGACTGAGACAGCCTCTTGGGTACCCGCTAATCAGACCTGATGCAGGAGAGGGAAGTCCGACATGGAGCTGGCAGCAGGTTTTGAACATCTTTGGCATTAGATTTAAGCGGGACATGCAGCGCAGCCCCAGAACAAGCCATCGGGCTGCAGTTCTGCTGAGTGTGCAACGCCTTATGCCATCTGTGTCGTAGCCTCCGCGGTAATCCAAGGCTGGGCTGGTGTCTGTCCTCAGACAGGCAGGAGACTGCTGCCTGGGGAAAGAGCCTGGCCCAGAACCATGCCTGAGCAGCATACCTTGAGGTAGGCTGGAGGAGCAGTTCATCGTAGTCTTCTGTGAACAGGTCTCCTCCCCTTGTTCTTTTATTTGCATTTTTAAACCAAACTCTAACTGTGTGATTGTTTTTTTTATCATCTAATTTGCTGTCAGAATTACTGTCTCATCATAGAAAATTGAAAAGAAAATACAGTTATTTCCCCCTCTTAGCTCTGAGAGTGATCTTTCCTTAATCAGTCTGAGATACCAAACTCTTTCATGGTGGCCAGAGACTGTCTCCCCAACCTGTTGGCGCAGTATGTCTTGTTGCCCACTGGGATAGACTCACACATGTTTCAGAGGGGCTTCTTTGCTTCTCTGATAAGGAAACATGCTAGCAGCCGATCAGGTTTGGCTTTTTCAATGTATTAAAATGTAACCCAGCCTCTTCAGGGTGACATCAGCAGGGCAGTAGGCACTCCCAGCATCTCTCCTAGCCTACAGCCTTCTGGGGCCACATCTCCCTGGCTGAGTATTGCTAAGGGTAGTCCTCCAACAGGGTACTCAAGCTGTCCCCTGGTCCTCTGGGCCAGCTAGAACAAGCTCCTCCTTGACTTGAGACATAGAGTGGTCCTGTAACAGCCACAGCAGGACTCCAGTTTCAAGTCCAGCCTAAAAACCACTAGGATGTGGAATTTATGCTCCCAGAGCCCAGTGGTGCAGAACGTGGGGGGGAGTCGTTCAAAATCTAGGGAAAATCCATCCCTCTTGCGTGGCTGTGTGATTTTTTAATCCTGGAGCTGCTGTACAGGAGCTGGAGACTCCAGTGCAGAATGAAGGCCCCATGTGCCAGGTGGAAGATAAGAGCTAATCCCTACTTTGAAAAAAGCGTCATCTACATAAGCAAGACAGATGCAGCCAAGTCCCATCCCGTTTTCTGAGTGCAGATCTGAGCACCCGGAGAGCTTAACTGATTTCTCCTGCTGGCACATCCTGAGCCTCTGTTCCCACAGGATGCCTTAATGCTCCAATCAGCTGTTTCCTCTGTGTTAAAGAGATGGATTTAGCCCAAAACGGCTGACTGGGTCCTGAAAACCAATCATGCAGCCCACCGTTCCTCAGTAGCCCAAGGGGAGAACAAGTCATCCGCTGCCAAATATTTATCGATGGGAATACGAAGGCGTTGTTTCTGTTCGGGGGATTGTGCCTAAGCCTTTAATCGTGCTGTGAGTATTGAACGTTGTCTCAGCAGAAACAGTCACGGGCTTGGTCTTGGCCAGGAGCTGGAGAAGCCAAGAGCCAGGATTGTCCGCCCGTGCTTTTCCAGCAGGGAGCAGAGCACACGCCACCCCACAAGCAGCTCGCACATGCCCCCATGTTGTCTTGCCCAGCAAATCCTAAGGTTTACACCAGCCGCCCCGCCCCCATTTACCGCACCGTCTCTGCAGAGCTCCATGCGTATGACAATTTGATAATTCGCTCTTTATTAAATGTCTCCACTGATACAAAGAGGACAATTTTTTTTATTATACATCCCCTTGAGTAGTAGGGCGCTTGGCCCTGACCCTCAGGGCTGTCTTCTTGGGCCTGATCCTTCTTCAATTGACTCCCCTCTAGGTCTGATGAGGGCTTGGGCAAAAGCCCAGTCAGACAAGGACCTGCCCAAGGAAAGCGAGGATGAGACCCCTTGGTTATGGAGATGACGTGCTCATCTGGTTGGCTCAGCAATTTGTTGCTTTGGGAAACTATTTTTACTCGCCGTCAATGACAAAGAACGTTGTTTTGGGGGCTGGTCGCTTTTTCCGCTCTTTCTTGGATTAATTTTTAGGTTCCTTTGGAAGGGAAAAGAAGCAGAGGGCAGACTGAAAGCTTAGAGGACAGGAGGCAAAGATAAAGGGAGAGTGAGGAGATGGGATTTACTCCTCCAAGCCTCAGGCCACCTTACTGCTTATGGGGCTTAGGAACCCAGTGAGGGTAGAACCCTTTTAGAAGAGGAATAGGAAAGAGCATTCAGGAGGTTGTGGGCTTTCTCCTTCAGAAAAAAAAGCAGGGGCAGGTCCTGCTAATGGTTTTCCAGAGAGCTGGAATAGGATTTGAGATGGAAGACTTTCTCACGGGTCTTACAGCGCTTGATTATGCTACAGCCCACATGTCTTTAACGCGATTACAGGAGAATTGCTTTGGGGCAGGAATCATGTTTCTATTCTGTTCATCCCATGCTTAGCATAAGGGGATGCAGGCCTTGATGCCACAGTAATACAGACGATTATTCATACTCATCCCAGCTTTTATTTGAAAGTGGTCCTAGACCTTGTGGTTGAGGGCTTGCATGCATGACCTTTAAAGACTCCCAGAAAATAGGAGTGTTAAAATAATGCACAATATATAGGGTTTTTTCTTCCTTGTGTCATTATTTTTTAAGCCAGTTCCCTAGTTTTGAAGGGTCACATGAACAGGTTTTGAACTGGTCATGCTGTGTATGTGCCGTTGTAGTCCATGGTAATAAACCTCTCGCTGCTCACACTTAGCATTGAGAAAGATAATGAATTACTAACCTGAAGACCCAAAAGTGCTCTGCAAACTGTAGAGTTGATCAGGTACCCAGAGAAGAGAACAAACAGTCATGCAATCTCCTTGACCTTTCAATCCTATTCACCCCAGCGAGCACACCCGCCTCTGTTGATCCCATGTTCCCCTACAGCACCCTGCTGCTTCCTCTTGCCTCCTCCAGACACCCTCTTTGACCTCCCTTTTTCTCTCCCCAACCTCCTCCCCTGCCTGACATAAAGAGGAGCAGCCCTACCTACACGAAAACACGGCTTTGCCCGGACAAATGAAGAACAGTCTCATCAGTAGCTGCTATGGCAGACAGCAATCTGCATCCAAGGGGTTTGTTGCTCCTCCTGAGCCTGCAGGAAGGATGCTCTGCACAGCTGTGGGTTGCCGGGGTTTGTCCAAGCCCTCCAGAAAAGCTGACAACAGCTGGCCACAGCTCTGTCTCTCCCGCAACATCTTAATCCCATGGGAACATTGCTCTCACCCCAGTGCCGCTTCTGCTCCTTAGCGGCTTCTTGGAGAGAGACCTGGGTCTTGTCACAGGCACTAATAAAATCCTCTTTGCTTTGGCAGGACCTAGCACCACTCCAGCAGTGATAAACCCCAAACCAGAGGACAATTTGTCCTTTTTCAACCAGCACAAGTGCCTTCAGAGGGATTAAACCGGCCTTGTGGAAACTGGACCCCCTCCACCCTGGGAGCGCTGAGGCCATGCGAGAAGTCCCCTTCCATCACACCAACCCGTGGGGGTGAGCACGGGGTGGGTGCCCCTACGCAGGAGCCAAACCTGCTTGCTAACAGCCGAGTGAATTACCATCCTTGTTTCTTAGCTCAGCACTTTGCAGGTAGGCTCAAGGCAATTCCAGAGGATTTCCCGTCCCCTGCAGGTTCTGCTTGCGCAAACTTTTGTCTTACCCCGCCTGTTTCCAGTACTCTGGGATTTCTCTGCTCTCCTTCTCCAGCCCCCCAGCTGGGCTGGCTGCTGCCTCAAGGCCACCTGTGCCGGGCCGGGCTCTGCTGCTGCGGGCTGACATGGCATGTCCTCAGCTTCCCCGTGCCGCGGCTGTGTCCTCCTGAATGACCTGCAAGCTGTCCCTGCGCCGC